GAGAAAAAGAGAAAGAGAGAAAAAGAGAAAGCTTTTTCATCTGTTTTTCCATTATCCTGATCGGGCAGGATTCTCGAGATCCCTCATTTCTCGGTCCGTCGAACATTATACAAATAGAAAGCTACTCCTATGGGGATTAATTCTATATTATTTTTTCAAAATATGATGTCGCATTGCAACGCTCTCTTCCTCTCTGTGCGCTGTGTAATCCACGTCGCGTCATCGTTCCGGAGACTTCAGGGTTCTCGACCTCTTGCGAAACAACCTTCCGCGATCGTACAGAAACATTCGCAACCCCATCGAGCACAGCGCAATCGACGTGATGGTATAAAAGCCTCTCGAGCGACGCACTTTGCCTTTCAGAGCGATAGAATCTCGCCGCGTTGCGTCCCCGTTAAAAATCAAACAACGAGAGACACAACTCCTACGTCGCGCAATTACGATCGGACTTTCCTCGGCGCATTCAATTTTCCTCATTCGCCTCCATGATACGCCTTTCTCGCGTCAATAAATCCTGTCGCATCGCGTCACGCTCGATCGGAAGCCATTAAGACGGTCGGCGAGTAATTGAACTTGATTCCGTATCTACGTATTGACCGTATGTCCTTGAATCACCCGGGTAAGTTTGCGCCACAAGTGTGCAATAAATCACCGTGGCTTGATGGATACCCACGGATGAATCGCCGACAGACTGATCGTACCAATAACCTTGACGTTGCATAGAACTTGTCGCGTCTCACACGTGTAAAGAGCAAAGTCACGTAATGCGATTACATATACTTCATGCTGAGAAACGTTGCAGACGAGAAATATCCTATAAGCAGTAATTTTATATATAAAATGATTATTAATTTACAGAATGTACCAGAATCATTGACACACATATTTATACATTTAATAAATCAATGAATTTTATTTCGTAAACAAAAAAAAAGTTTTTCTCTTTATTTTAAGTACATTTTATTTTAATAAATTTTTAATATGGATGCTGCTTACAAAGCATATTTTAAAGCCAAGTGTTTAAAAATGACGAAAAATATCTCGCTCGATAATCGATCCTGTTATTTCTGTAGGTGAAAAGAAATGTGTACTGTATAGATGCATGTGCTCATGGAAGATCGATCAGCTGAATAGCTAATTGTATGCAACCGTTACAAAAATGGCAAAATTGAAAAACCATAATTGTTAAAAAAACCTTGCCACATTCATGTATAAACAATGTATAAATATCGGTGTGGCAAATATAGTGGTTATTTTGGAGCTAAAAGCTCGCACAACCCCGTCCGAGTTAAATTAGTTACATTCATGGGAGTACAAGAGCTGCACACACGCAAATATCTGGTTCACGCTGCAATGGATAATCTTGAATTTATTAGCACGCTATTCTTGCCACTGCATTCTACACATCTAGTTACTATCAAATATTTATATTCAATTAACATAAAGTCAAACAAAGGGCGAAAACAATTTATCCGTATCTGCAGAAAATTGCATGGAATATATTAATAGCAAGTATGAAAACAATATCACGCAAATTCATAACCGTTTAAAATATTCTTTAGTGATAAAAAAAATTAATTCTTGGAAAGAATTAACTGCAAATATTATCATCTCAATTGTCGAGATCTGACTTTTATCCGCATTAGGCGGATGATATCCACGAACAGTTTCCTTGAATTCATTTGTCTTTTGAGATAACTTGATTGTCCTCTCTCGCAACGGGAGAGAGAATGCAACTATTTTAAGAGGAACATAATTTAATCTTCAATAAGTTATAATCGCATGATAACGAACTACGAAATATTAGATTAATGCGTTACTTTATCAAGATGCAAACTCGAATAATGTAGGCAATCTCTTTTTGCATGATCGACTGACATATATACTCCAAGATTTGCATAACTAGCTTCTAGGCTTTTGCATGCACGTTCCCCGTTTCTAGGCGAGCACTTCTCGGATCTACTAATTTTCCAGTCCCGAGTATTAGCGAACGACCAAAGCTTCGAGCTTCGAGAGGTCCACGGTTGCAATATTCATCCATGGATAATCATTATCTGTAATATGGTAATTTATATGTTCACTAATGAGATACATCTCGCGAGTATCACGGTACAACTTGTAGTTGCCTAACTTTCTCACAGTCAAAGCACACAATTAAAGCATTAAAGGTCAGAGTGCATATATATATAAATTAGTAATTTTATACAGAAAAGTTTATTTCTAAAATTTATCGTAAGAAACGTTTGATGTGTTAATCAAACTAAATTTATCTTGCTTTAGAAATAAGTGAAATTTAATCAAATTTACTGTCAACCTGCCAACATTGCTAACATTTTGCTTACTAATTGTGATTTAGTTATAAATATATTTTTTTTACGCTTTTAATAGACGACGCGGGAGTTGCTTCTAAATTTTGATATATTATTCAAGAATCAAATTTTTAGCTTCTTGAAACATTTCAATAAAATTGTCACGCGCAGTACATCGCGACAAAAGGGTAAAAATTGAAAATTTTGAAACGACATATCGCGATACTACTGATGTTACAACGTAGTGATCGATAGTTCGAAGCAAATAGACGAAAAATCATAAAAGTGTAACATTTTTGTCCAGCTTTGAAGGCATCCAATCAACAAAGTTCACAAAGAACGATCAAAGTATAATAAATTGAACAATAACACCGATAAATGGGCACCATCAGAAACTTTCCATGCTCCCATCATCAATATTACCCGCCGAAAGTCCTGCGAACTTTAATAATATACCGCTTCCAAGGAGGCTCGCAAATCTTCGAGATCCTCTACAAGATAATAAAGCATCACGCAAACAGATTCAAGGGTCAAGTCACAATTTTATGAAAAATCGATCTTGTTATGTGATTAGTCGTGAAGAACGATATAAACAAATCCTTTTTATACAGAACACATTGAGAAACTTATAATATTTTAGTGATGGAAAACTAGAACTATCGATATAATCGATTGTAATTTTAATAAAATTATTTTTAAGATTTCTCTTTTCTGCATCTGCATTGATTTTGTTATTTTAATGTTAAAAGTATTTTAGCACAATTAAATGTCTCGCGACAAACATTTTCTGCAAGGAGAACAGAACAACGGAGAATAGCACCGTTCAATTTTCATCTGAAGTCAGTGCCAACTACGCGACCGCGTGCTTTCGCGACGCGGACTCGCCGCACGGAGGAGAAATACCGTAAATAATGGCATCATCAAAGGAAAAGGCGAGGAACAGACCCGAGAAGAAGCGGATAACGGAACGAATGTCACGTCCTGGTATTCGCTCCCGTGTTAAATCAACACGTAAACGCGCAAACACTCCGTATCGTAGACAGCCATACGAATCCGTCAGCATACCTCAACTGGTCTATGAGCTCCTCACCATTGATAAATACAATCAAGGTGACACAATCGGTATTACGGCTGCAAGCACTGATAAATAATACTCGATTCAAGCATAAAATATTGTTTAAAAAAATCTATCGAACTGTTAACCTCTCCTCCAAGCTGAGTTTTTAAGCTCGGAGTCAAGTCGTTCTACATACAACATTTATCTAACATTGAATTTTATTCTGATTACACACGCTATATATATATATATATACCATAATTGGAAATCGATAAAATGAATTGAAATTATGTTGACAGCTTAGAAATATCATGATGGTACAAATATAAATATAACGTCATTATTGTTTCTCATCACAGAAGCGAAACGCTTCTCGTCTCCGGAACGCTTCAGGACGCCGCGTCAAAGAATGCAGAAATATCACGAGCAGCGAAGGCTTCCATACGAGGCGGTCGACCACCGTGATAGTCCGGAATCCGTCCAAGTACCCGACTACGTGATGGAATCTAGGCCCACGTCCATTGAGAATCTGACAGAGACGATGGATGCTGCAAATAGCTCGGCGCCGCCAAGCTCAGCAAACAGCAGCGTGTCGAATATCTCAATGGAACCGATTACATTGGCGAACTCGCTGAACAGTGCTAGGGCGTTATTTAGAAAAAGATCCCTAGTGCAACTCGTTAACAAGTACATTAAAGCAGGCATTGAAGAAGGTACATTCCTAAGTTTTTCAATTTTATATTAAAACCATTAAAATTTGCGATAAAATATTTTGTTTCATGGAGTCATAAAAAATACTGAGTTGAACATATTAAATAATTGTGTAAACTTTTCTTTAATTTGCTAAGATAAAAAATAATAATAGTATAATATTCGAGATAAATGTTTCAGGAATCAGAAGTTATCAGAAATTTGTTTGTATGCAAAATATATTTCATGACTTCTCAAAAACGTTGTATTGTATTTTTCTTTTCTAACAAAATACTATCTTTCTAATTTATCATGAAAGATATTATGTTAAAAAAATAATAATAATTAGTGTTCAAGGATTTTAGTTCAAGGATAGTAACAATTCCCGCGGTACACGCATCAAAGCGCGAGTCGAGTGACACGTACAGAGAAAAATGGCTCATTCGATGCATGTGCATTACGAGAGCTATCATTACACGCCATATATAAGAGCGCTCTTGATTACAAGATCAAAGTTCTCCAGTAACGATAAAGGTGTGTACAATATGACGTATTACAGGGAAGCGGCAGGCCAAAAAGTACATCCGTAAGGCGTTATCTTTCGGCGTGAGATCGGGTTATCTGATCCTAGACGATCCACAAGGAAACGTGCTACGCGTATGTCCGACCTTGGACACAGGATCTTGGAGCTCGAGAAAGGCCGACGCCGAAACCAGACAGAGACGACGCATCGCTCGTCGAGGCCAAATACATCAGACGACAATCGATGATCGGAAAGCGATGCGACGTGGAATCCCGCGGGATAAGCCGCGTCACGACGCCGACAATGGACAGATAACATCGAGGAAAAGATACAGACGACATGCCGTTCAAAATCCTGCCAGGAGCATCAGCACGAGAGAGAGCAGCCCGAGAAAATCGCCCGGCGTATCGAAGAGCAAGCCAAAAACTATCGTAAAGAGAAAAAGGTAGATTGATTAACTTTTCTATTCTCAAGAAGAATGATCTCTCGTTTTGTGCAATTTTTTTCGCAATAAATTCCGAATTAAAGCACATACACATCAATGTGTAAGCAATGAAAATCAATTACTCGATGTTAAAACATCGCGCAAAACGACTTCTATATTTGAAAATCATAGTACTACGAAATCAAATATCTATATTTTCACAAATTTGTTACTAAAAATACCTCTCTTTTTCTGTCTATATAAATAGCAAAATGAGTTTAAATGCGTTACGAAAGTCTTAATAGACTTTAACATAGGACGGATGTTTTAATAAACTTAAACGCATTATGTTTCCCGAGAATAGAATTAAACGCGGAAAGCGAGAAGATAAAAAAAGATGTTTATCACGAATTGAACTTCCTTTTTCTCATATTGCATTCATGGCGCAGTGCTCACAACATGGCCTACATTGCTTTGCACAATACGCTTTGCCAGCGCTTTGTATATATTATATATATATGTATATATATATATATATATATATATATATATATATATATATATATATATATATATATA